CAAATTTGTTGTGGTTTAGAGCTAACACTAAACACTGATTATTTTAAACTGTTTCTGCAATAGTGAAATTGAATAATTTGAAAGGAGGAAAGCCAGCTAAACTCCAGTAACTGTAAACAAATTGAATTAGAAGAAATACCACCAAGCAAACACTTCAAAACATAACTTGCAGTGATGTTACAATGAACATTTAGCAATGGGAAGTGACAGGAAATCTATTGATCTTCCTCCATAACAACCCACTTCTATAATGAAAAGACAATACTTTATATTGATTACTTAAAACAAAAATGTAGATCTGCCTGTTTACAAACTGTGTATGAGATGAACTTTAGTCTCTCAGATTCTTAAGTATGATGGAGGTGGGTGTGAAGTTGTCACCAACTAAGACATAGCTCTTCTATCCAGAGACTCAATAAACAATATAGAGTGACTGAATCACAAAAAGATATTATCTTTGAAACACTGATATTTCTCCAACTTTTGTTGGTGAGGAAGACAGACAGTCATATGATTACAATAATTGAGCAATTCTGTCATAAAACAGAGCTTGGCTCTCTTTTCATCTTGCTTTCAAACCCACGTAGTTTTTAGCATCACCAAAGGTTTGAAGAAAGTTTTCAATCCAATTGACAAAAGATGAAAAAATAAGTAAAAACAAAGGAAAGAACATTTATCACAAAACATCATAGAGCATAAATAATTTCAAGGCATATTTAAAAATCATTTAAAGCAAGGCACCACTAGCTTAAGCCTGTAATCCGAGCTACTCAGGAGGCTGAGATCTGAACATTGCAGTTTAAATCTAGTCTAGGCAGGAAAATTATGCACCCCACATAGCCAATTAATGGAGGACGAAGAGGAGGGGGTGGGAGGGGGAAAGAGGAGGAGGAGGAGGAGGAGAAGAAGAAAAGCGATGTGGTTCACTAGCCTTGAGCACAAAAAAACTCAAGGATAGTTTCCAGGCCCAGAGTTCAAGCCCTGGGACAGGCATAGAACAAACAAATATCAGTTAAAAGTTAAGAGAATGCATTTCATAACTGAATTCAAGAATAATAAAATGAAGGGTTTTTTTTTCAAGTAGATATATTTCACTGAGAAACTGTAATACAAATGATGAAAAGAAATATATAAAAGAACAAAAATTAAAAATAAAAGAAAGAAGAGAGACAATACAGGAATTATGGAAAAATAAATAGGAAAGCTTAAGTAGAATTAAGATTCTAATGCAGATTAATATTGACCATCACAGAAAGTATATACATATCAAAGAGTACATTTTATCCACTAGTTTGTTGTTTTGATCTAATTATAAACAATGTTATAAAAAGATAATTTCTAAACATGTCCACATTTGTTCTATAATGCATCAGACTTTTTTATTCAATAAAAGTTGGTGGTAATTATTATTTGAATTTTGTAATTTCAAGATCATCTAATGTACCATAATTTCATTTCCTCATATTGGCATTATTTCAGGTCAGTATTTTCAAAACTGGCTTATTGTTTACAAGACATAGGAATACTTTTTATAAGTACAAATCTCTACATCAAAATAATCTTAAAGTGTTTGTTAAAAATTCCCCCCAAAATACTAAAATATTTCTATCAAACTGACATTAAATTAACTTTTCAATTGAGTTTCAATCATATTTTTATTGCTTCAATGAAACTGAAGTTTGTGAAAAACTGCTTGGCACTAGGCACAACATGACATGTCTTTAACTTTAATCACAGTTGACAAATTAAATGTATAATAGTAAAATTAGCATAAATGGATTACATTGTAAATACTGCAATTGCATCCTTCAAAGGCACAACTGAAAGTTAAGGGAAAGAATGCCACATAAGATCGGAAAATCTTTCTGTTTACTTATTTCCAAATGTGGTTAGTCACTAGTTCCTTCAATTAGAGAAAATGTTAATAGTTTCCAGTGAAAGTCCTATTTAAAAAGCACTGGCATTTTTTTCAAATAAAATGATCTCTCACTTTAGGAAGAACTGTGGCTTTACCATTTAGTAATTTGGTAAAGACTGAAAAGACCTCTGTGTGATCTCAGCTGGCTAGATTTTTCACAACCAGAGGAAGCATTGTATTATTTCGGGGAACTGTCTCATTCTCTGTTAAGAAGAATAAGGTCAAAGAGAAGCAGCTGAAATAGTCAGGGACATTTTCACCTGTGTTTCCATACTCACATCTAGCCTTATTTCTCAATAAATGTTTCCAGTTCATGAGTATAATTATGTTCACATAGATCTTTTAAATTGCTATAATTCATAAAAGAAAGTCACCAAAGCAATGTTTCTTCACTATTTAAAACTGTATATAGTCTTTAAAATAGATCGTTAGTTTTTTTTTCATTGATATATTTACCTAGAAAGCTGGAAAAAGGAGCAGGTATAATCTGAACATTGTACTTTCAACAATTTATTTAAATGAAGACCTTAGCATGTCAAAATGGAAGAGGAAATGACATAGAGGAAACAGGTTATCAGGCATTTAAAGGGTTTTGTCTAATTATAGTATTTCACAGAAAACATCACTGGTACTCAGACATTCAGAACTTTCACACCCAATCTTGACAAAGAAGTTCAATAATTTCCATGGAAAATAATAAACAAGAAGAAGCCAGGCTCCTCAAAATTCTCAGAAAGAAACAAAATACTAGAAAATATAAAAGCATGAAGTAACTCATCAATCCAGTTCTTGAAACAAACACTACTTTGACAGATAGATCAAATAAAATATTAAATGAAAAATAGTATAGACCTGATCGCAAAATTCAAGAATTCCCCAAATCCAAAAGTTAAGAATCTCTGTACATGTGGAGGACAAGTAGAAAAGAATACAAGCTATATACTTATGATCATATAAAATGATGTTAAGCAAAGTGAAACCAAGATAGGGACACAAATATCTTTTTTCTTTCTTGTTATTTTTCTAATGTATTTATAATGTACCATGTGATTTTTTTTTGTTTCTTTGTGTGTTCCTCTTGCACAGTATCACCCCTGTTTTCATTGTATTTGATGAGTGCCCTGCATCTTGTATATATACTTCTCTAATTCCAGGAAGGGTAAGGAAAAAACAAAATGCTTAAATAAGATACAGGTTAACCCATTGTAACAATGAGATGTACAAAACACTATGTTGAAAATGAACTTTACAACTTCGGGGGTAGTGGGAGAGGGAGTTGTAGTTGTGGAGGTGGGAGGGAAGAAATGGTAGGAGGAAAACAAGGGAGGAGGCTACAATGCTCAATAGGAAATGTACTCATTACCTTGATCGTGTAATTGTAAACCCTCTGTACAGCATTTTTAAATAAAAAATGTACAAAAAAAGAATCTCTAGTTCCTCTAGATTTCTAGCCCTCAAGGAAAACTTCCAGGAACAAAGCAACTTTACATAATAGTACACTCAAAACTGAACCTTTATCTCATTGTCAATAACTAGGATAAGGCAAGACATTCAGTTTAAATCTAAAAAGTATAAGACATACTAACCAACAATTATTATGAGATTCTGCTGGCACAAACCAGTCAACAGAAAACCATTTCAGCACCTGTAACGTCAGAAACTTCAACAATTTGAAAGCCAAGTTTGAGTGTAGTTGAAATACTTCATGATCAAGAGATAGAACAGAAAATAGTAAAATATATGAAGTTTCAAGTAAACATAGGAAAGAATAAAAGAAAAAGTACATGCAAACAGAGTCATTAAATTCAGATATTAACATAAAATTAAGAGTTTTATTTAGTCATGAAAAATAATTATGTTGACTGTCAAAGAAAATTTGTGGAGATCATCAGCAGGGTTAGTAAAACAAACCAGAATGAAAAAGACAAATATTAATTCTTCTCTTTCATATGCAGAGTCAGACTTTAAAAAATCAATTGCTGACATGTGAATAAAATTAAGATCATTGATCGAGTTGAAATCAGTGGATGAAGGAAGCCAAGGAAAAGAGCAATAAGGTGTGACTGTAGCTCTAGTATTTTATATTTCCTTATGAAATTAAAATAATACCTATTAATATTGTTTAAAAGATAAGGAAGAGAATATGAAAGGGAAATGGAGAAGATAATTTATCAGAGTATATTATATATGTGTATATGAAAATATAATCTCTTGTTACATTTATTTTTTCATGCAAAAGAGAACCATAGCACCAAGAAAAGAAAGAAGGTATCTACTTCAGCACCCAGAGACTATGTACTTCATGCTACCTCTACACTCATGAAGACCCAACACAATGGGGGACAGAGAAGATGGAAATGCTAAATTAAACATAAATTTTGTGCTATAATTATTCAATAAGAATAGTTATATCTACTACAACGACTTAGTTACATGACCATATCTAAAAATAAAGTACTTTTTCATTTATTTGTTAATTATCTCTGAAAATAGAGTCAACCACAACACAGAAAAATAAGCATTTATTCAAACATTTGTCCTAAATTAAAATGAGAAGTCCTCAGCTACAAGACTTTGAGAATTTTGCTTTTGCTATGAACTTTAAGAGCTGTTGGTTTGAGACCACGCATCATTTTACTTATGAAAATACCTTTGATGATATTCTGGGTTCCTCAAGCAAATTTTCTCCAAAAGTAAAACTTTGAGGGCTTTATTAAGCTATACATGTGTGTATATATATATATATATATATATATATATATATGTATGTATGTATGTATGTATATGTGTATGTGTGTATGTATATAAATGTATGTATATGTATATATATATTCAAAAATGGAGACTCAGCATGTAGGTTCTTTTTAGCTATCTTCCTAAACACATGCAAGTCCATAGATTCAATCCCCAACATCTCAGAAAACATAAGAGATCAAAAACTCTGTAATAAAAAATATCCTTAAGGAGAACAAGACATTGAGTATGTCTTCACAAGCCTAATGCAATGAATGAAAAAGAAATATAAAACACAGATCTAATAACTACAATGTGAATTATTCACATGGATATATTGTTGACTTACTTTGAACTCCATGGGAGCGTACTATTTTCCAAGTTTCTGATGCCACTTCCTTGACATCTACTTGATAGTGATGAATCGGCACACCTCCATGGGATTCTGGCTTGTTGAAAGAAATCTTGGCCGTGGTCTGTGACAGCTCTATTATCTTCACGCCATGGGGACTGGATGGGACATCTACAAAGTAAAAAGCATATGGGAAACATACAACGGGCAATGCAGATCACCATTTTTTAAGACTTGTGGCTTTAGGAAAATTAGGAAGGAAAGAAAACTGTTGGGCTTCCTTTCAGACCTGAATTAACGCTTCAAAATTCAAGAATAAATGTACCTTTCTAATAGCACATCTAGTAATAGTAAATTGCAAATGGAACTCTCAATATTAATTTATAGAGGAAATATTTTGCTTTCTTTTCTTCTATACAATAGAATATTATATTGAGGTCAAGGAAAACAAGCCTGTGTGCATGTGTGTATACATGTATGCATACATATGTACATGCTGTCAAAAGTGAGACAAAGTGAAGCACAGATGGAGAAAGAAAGGAAGATCATTACATTGGAAGAAGAAGCTATGTATCAATAGAATTATTCCATTAATCACAGCCATTTTGAGACTCTTTTTTTTTTTTTTTTTGGGTCCGGTCGTGGGGCCTGAACTCTGGGCCTGGGCGCTGTCCCTCAGCTCTTCAGCTCAAGGCTAGCACTCTACCACTTGAGCCACAGCGCCACTTCTGGCTTTTTTCTTATGTGGTGCTAAGGAATCGAACCCAGGGCCTCGAGCATGCAAGGCAAGTGCTCTACCACTGAGCCACCTTCCCAGCCCCCACAGCCATTTTGAAAACTGAGAATTGTAGAATCACAGTGAAAGGCCAATCTGGACAGAAAAGTTTTGATATTATTTTTCTTTTACTATCTATTGGATTAATTTGTAGATTTAAAGACATAGTTATTATAAATGAGGGAAAGCATGAAACCTATATTATTTAAGCCCATACCTGGTTACAGTACCAGCTATACCAAGCAATATGCTAAAACTGTGAGGATCACCTTAGCAGGCTAGCTTCAGCAGCAATCTCCATGATACTCCATGGAGGTGAAGCAAGGTATAGTGAAACATGCCTATAATCCCAGAGATGATAGGAAGCCAAAAGTAGGCTGATGACTGCATGAGAGAGAATTGTGGCACCATTTTTAAAATATCCAGGAATAGTACAAGGAAATGCGTAATGGAATGGGGTGGTGAAGAATGTGGTCAAGAAAAATAAGAAAAATATGGGAAGGGGTGGTTCAAAGAGGGGTGAAAATGTTGAAAGGATGACAGATGAAGATGCATTGTAGCCATAAACTGCTTTGTTAAACTGAAAACTAAATCAATACATATCCTAAAATCTTAAGAAAAGTGAGGAATAGTGTAGGTTGAAAATAAAGAGTAGTTGTAATACTCTCCTAAGAATATCCTCTTTTGGACTCAGTGTGTGAATGCTTAGAGTGCTGTTTAGTCATGTCCCAGCGTAATTTTTTTTCTTTTACTATCCATTGTATTAACTTGTGGATTTAAAGACATATTTAGTTATGACAAATGAGGGAAAACATGCAACCTACATTTCTTTGGATCTAGCTTACTTTGCTTAATATAATTTTTCCAGGTCATACCATTTCCTTAAGAATAGCGCAATACCATTCTTTCTGATGGAAGCATAGAACTCCATTGTGAATATATATACCACATTGTCTTGATCCATTCATCCACTGAGGGGCATCTGGGTTGGATCCATATCTTAGCTATGATAAATACTGCTGCAATAAACATAGTTGTGCTGATGGCTTTAGTGTGGGCTGGTTTATGGTCATTTAGGTAAATGCCCAGAAGTGGGACTGGTGGGTTATAAGGAAGCTCTATGTTTAGTCTTTTGAGGAACCTCCAAACCACTTTCAAGAGTAGTTGAACAAGATTACCACTAACAGTGTAGTTAGGTTCCTTTTTGGCCACTTTCTTGCCAGCATCTGTTATTATTAGTTTTTTATATATGTAATGACCATTCTAACTGAGGTGAGGTAGAATCTCAATGGCTCAATACTTATATGGATATGACCATATAAAATGGTGTTTATAGAAATGAACTCCAAGAAACCAAAACAGTAGGATTTTTATCATTCTATTTGAAATCCTTCTTTCCCTCCCTCCTCTCCCTCCCCTCCCTCCCCTCCCTCCCTCCCTCCCTCTCTCCTTCCTTCCTTCCTTCCCTTCCTTCCTTCCTTCCTTCCCTTCCTTCCTTCCTTCCTTCCTTCCTTCCTTCCTTCCTTCCTTCCTTCCTTCCTTCCTTGCTTCCTTGCTTCCTTCTTGCTTCCTTGCTCCCTCTCCCCTTTGGCATATTCATTTTTCTAACTGTTTTTGATTTCTGCAATCTTTGTCTTGGGTAAAGTTTATCTGTTTTGGGGAGGAAAAGTGGAAATGGTGGGACAAAGAGTGATCCAATTCAGCAGTGATACTAACTGGACACTATGTTGAAAATGAAGTTTACAACTTGGGGTGTCAAGGGAATCAGCAGTGGAAAGAGTGGAAGAAAATGCAGGAGGGGGTAACACTGTTCAAAAAGAAACGTACTCATTACCTGACATGTAACTGAAACCCCTCTGTACATCACCTTTAAAATAAATTTAAACTTAAAAAGGAAAATAAAACAATAAAAAATAGAAATTGAAAAGTAAGAATGTTGAAAGTAGTGATATAAGCTGCTTTGTTCAGTGCCAGCTCTTCTGTACAGCTAAATAAAATAAAAATATTAAAAAAAATCTATGAAAAACAGAGCTGAAGAAATGGCTCAACAATGTCTTGCAGCCTAGTTACCCACAAGCCCCTGAGTTCAAAACCTTTGCAATACGATAAAAAACTAAAAAAAAAAAAAAACTTAATTTAATCACTAATAAAGTTTGTTTTGACATATATTTTCTTTATATTATATTTGGATGAATGTTTGAGGGATCTATTAGGCTGACAGAAAGTGCAGATATTTTGAAATAAATATACTTCAATTTATTGATTCTATTATTTATACTTCACTTATATTTAGTTAAAATATTGAATTCTAAATCCTTTTAAAATAAAGACAAAAATCTCTCTAGAGTAGTTTATGGCATGGATTGATTAATTGGCTTATCACAAGTAAAAGGAGATATCTTTGATGGAAATTTCATTTTAATTTCTGATATAAAACATGTTTTAAATTATGTTTCTAAGGTGAAAATGTTGAGAAGAAAATGTGAAAGAAAAATATCTCAAAGAGGAAATGATTAAAATCCATATTTAAGAAATCCTAAGGATTTATTGTAACAGTAAATACTACAGGGAATTCTCTTTATTACTCCATTCTCTTTCCATATTATGTATAGTATAATTTTTGATATTAAAAAGGAAACAAGTTTGTTATTTTATGATATGTAAATACATAATATGTATATGTGTTTATATATACATGTATATATGACATCAATTAAATATTCCTATAAACTCATGTGGCAGTGAAAAATCAAATGCCCTCTGTATTATAGAGTTGAGAAAAGAGGTGACATAATACAGTCCTGGGCAAGATTCCAAGAAGGCAATTTATGGCCTTTTGGATATAAACATTATAAGTGCTACAGCATTGTATATGCCCACTCTAATTACTAACTGTAAATTATGTAGAGATGTTATGAAATATGTTGTATCATAACTGTAAGGCTCAAAAATAAATGTATAGAATTCTGATACCTCCAAGGTTTCTACTACAGATTTTTTTGAATTAACTTTAAATAGTTGTACAAAGTAAGTGTCATTTAACAAAGAAGGTTCTGAATAAAATGGATTTTGATGAATGTCACCTCTTTCTACAGTCTCTCCCATCCTTGCCAAACTAGCCCTTCCCTCACTTTACTAGTTTTGTGGGATATACACTGCAAAATCTTATCAATAAATATAAGTGATAAGATTGTTAAGTAATACATTAAGCTTATATATAAACAGTGCCATTTTCACATTTTTAAATAGGTTATAGTATCAACATTTCTTCTGTAGGTTTGATCCAAAATAGTATTATAAAATAAACAAAAATAGATTGTCTTTAATAATTTTGAAAATGTTTCTGTTCACAAAAAATAACTGAGTGTATCTTGTATTCTAAGATTGTAATTACAATCTCTAAGAGAAAAAATACACAATTTCAATAAAGGCAAAATAATATATCTAAGAAGGAAGATGAATCATCAACTGATCTATAAAAATGCTTGATACAACTTATCATCATAGGCACCCAATTCAAAACCACAATGAGATATTGAGTTACTATTAATGTAAACACCAAAAATATCATGATTATCTTAGCAAATGTCAATTTTATCTTGCTCAATACCATATTTTGAAGTCTATTTTTATGAATACTTATATATAATGAGTATCTGTATATATTTATACATGTATGTATACTTTTATACATATAAACATGCATATATATATATATATACTTAGTTAAAACTCACTAAGTAGTATATTACTTCAAATAGTTATCATTCCACATATTTAAGTTCACAGAAACCACTCTACATATTTCAGAAATAAAATATTTCATCATCAACTACTTGCATTTACTATAGATCATCTCTAAGTATAATCATATAGCTCTCGACTTAACTTTTCCTGTCTCCTCTCCTCTCTATGCCTAAGGAAAACAATCATGGTACTATTTACTTCCGCAAAATAAAATATTTTGCTGTAATCTATGAGTAGAACAGGAGGTATTTTCCTTTCGGTGTTTGGCCTCTTTCATTGAACATAATGTTCTCCAGGTAAATCCACATAAGCACACATGGGATTTCATCTTTGTGTTATACTTGAAATGCACTCATTTGTGTAGTGTGCCATGGTTTCCCTGATCCATACACCTGTCAGTGGGCACACCAAATGGTTAAGATCTTGGCTAGTGTGAAAGTACTGCAATGAACACAGGGGCAAAGATGTCTCTTCACCATGATCCCTCAAGTTTCCCTGGCATAAATACCCAGTTGTTCCTAATATTTAGTGTTAAAAGTTGTAGATCTACAGAACTACATATATATATAGATAGATAGATAGATAGATAGATATAGAGATATATAGATATGTGTGTGTTACATTATATATGCATCAATATAGTTGTGACTTTGACACTGATTTTGAGGAGTGGAAGAGAAGTTAAGAGAATGATGAAAGGTGAATAGTAGTAAAACACTTTTTGTCCATCTATAAACATAGTATAATAAAATTCACTGAAATTTGATAAATAATTGAAGGGTAAGGAATCCTCTTTACATAAAGGAGCAATAGATGGGGGTTAGTCTGAGTAAATTATAATGCATGCATGTGTGCAATGCCCCATTGAACACTCTTAATATAGTTAATATTTAATCAACGGAATAACAGGATCTTCTGGAGGGGGGTACCACTAGGAAAGAGGAAGGATAAACAGATAGAATTAGTGAGGGTAAATATTGTCGAAGAACTTTTCATTCATGTATTACAGCAGAAAAATGTAATTTATTACAATGTATTACAGATGATGAGTGAAGAAGAGTCTTATAGAGAGTGGATTTTCTTAGGGAACATTGTACCCTTGGTGTAACCCTTGTACACCAAGATGCACTAATAAAATGCAATAAAAAAAATAAAGAAGCTTTTCCTTGCTAGGACATTTAGAGAATGATGTTTTCTATTCAGTGGAAGTAAGTGAATTTCAAAGGGAACTCAATTTGGCTTGCATCTGGCTCAGATCCATCTGAGTAGAAGGACCAGGAGATTGACTCTGATTAATGTCATATCTACAGAATTCTGTTCAATTGATAAAGTTTAACCAGTAAGCAGATCTCTGTTCTCAAAAGTGACTATTATAAGACTTATTCATGTCTAGGGTCAACATAGAGATGTCGGTTTCATGATATTTGTGAATTAAATCAATCTCAGAAAGAAAACCCAGCTATTGGATTTGACAAGGTCTCAGTAGGTTAAAAAGATGAGTCAAAACTGACAAGTTGAGATATAATAGGGGGAAGTATGGAGTCCCGAACTGAGGTTAGAAAAATCAATAGTGAAACACAACATGGGAAGCCTCACCTGGGACAAGTGGAACTGTCTAAGTACAATAAGCTGCCATATGATTTTTTTAAATAACAAAATCCAATAATATTATATTATTTAATACAGTGTCCCCTAAGAGCAGGCATATTTTTTTTCATTTTACTATGCACTGACCTAAGATATTTAGATGTATGTACCAAATCTAAAAACATATTGGCTCTCTGTCATTTTGCACAAAAGGCAAGTGACCAGTATAAATTAGAATTTAGCTGTAATAACAACTGTTAATTCATTATTTTTTTTGGGGGGGAGAAACTCATCATTTGTTTCGTTTAATTCCGCCAGTCTTTATAACAGTATGATCAGGTAGACAATGCGGTTATCACCTGTGGAGCATGAGCCAGCTCCCTCCACCACACAGAGGTGTCTGATGACCACTAAATCTGTTATTATACTCTATAAAATGTTTATACCATGCATGCACAACTATGTTACTATCATTAAGGAAGCAAATGGAAGACCAATATTTTAAGAATAAGAACAGTTCAACCATTGGAGTTGAAATAAAGAAATGATGAACTTAAGTATGAAAAATAAATGACAGTATTTGATACTGTTTAAAAAGTAAACAAACTATCCACTTCTTTCTTATGGTATTATTTGAAATTCATTAACAATAGCATGCAGTCCATACTTTGCCTTGTATTAAAGATTCTTACACCTTATAAAAATAAATTCATGCTTTCCATATAGTTGTCTCCCATAGAAAACTTAATCATAGAAAAATATAAGACAATATATAATGGTGTGCTGCTTTGAATACAATTATACAATTCATATATTATATGAATTATAAATTCATATATTATGTAGAAGGTTAATATCCTATATGAGAAAATTTGCCTAATTTATTAACATTTTCAATTAATTTGAATAATGAATGCCACTGATCTTTACAAATGGTATTATAATTTGTTATATTATAATTTGATGTAACTGGACATTTTTCATTTTCCTAGTACATAACTAAACTTCACAGTAGTTTATTCATAATACTAATCACAGAAAGTGTATTTCTCAAGAGTTTCATTAAAACTAATTGTCTTATGGCCTCATGGTAGGCAATACATGTTACCTAATTTCTTTCTTTCCTTCATCTCATGTTTCCTCTTTTCTCATCATTTTAATTTCTTCAACTCATCACAGATTCTCACTACCTCCTTCTTTTATTTCTACCAAGGGGTTACTTGTTCCTTTCTCTCATAATGTAAAAAACTTCCCCAATTTCTCAACGAGTGTTTGAATTAAACAAAAACAGGAAATCTAAGTTTCATAATAACTTGAATATTATGAGTTTTGTGAATTTTTTTAAGTTAAAAAAATCTTCATGGGAAGTGGCACTATGGCTCAAGTGGTAGAGTGCTAGTCTTGAGCTGAAGAGTTGAGGTTCAGTGCTCAGGCCCACAATTCAAGCCCCATGATGGACTAAAAAAAGCGTCATGACTTTTCCAACTAAGGACTCACTTGACAACTATTTAGAAAGCAACAAAAATGGGCATCATTACTGAATTAATATGAAATAAAAATTATATTAAGAACTGTTAGAAAATGATCTATTTTTTCTTCAAAGAAGATAACATACTAAACTATATTTTGGTACTTGTATGAAATTAATTGTTTAAAAGACCATTTAAAAAATTCTGATTTGTATTAAAAGGGTATTTTCACATTCTTAATCTAGTTAAACATAATATCAAATTAAGTAAATAGTTGGGCACTGATAGTTTACAGCTGTAATCCTAGCTACATAGGAGGCTGAGATCTGGGGATTGTAGTTTGAAGCCAGCCAGGGCAAAAAAGTCCACAAGACTTTCATCTCCAATTAAGCACCAGAAAACCAGAGGCAGAGCAAAATACACAACCCTAGAGTTCATGGAGCAGAAGTGACAGAAAACACACACATACATACATACACACACACAGACACACACACACAATCTATAATACATATATATATAGAGAGAGAATGAGAGAGAGAGGCGGATATATCAGAGAGATATATCTAATTAAAATATAGTGAGATTTCCAGATTAAAATAATTGTGGTCAACATATATTTATCTTACCACTATACTGACAAATATCACAACTTTGTATCTACACATTAACATATTCTTTTTCCTTTCTTCCTTCCTTCCTTCCTTTCTTTTCCTTTCAATAAGATTTTTTTTTTTTTTGGTTGTGGGGCTTGAACGCTGGGCCTGAGCGCTGTCCTTTCGCTCTTCAGCTCAAGGCGAGTGCTCTATGGCTTGAACCACAGAACCACTTCCGGTTTCCTGGTAGTTTATTGGAGATAAGAGTCTCACGAACTTCCCTGCCCGGGCTGGCTTTGAACCACTATCCCCAGATCTCACCCTCCTGAGTAGCTAGGATTACAGGCGTGAGCCACCAGTGGCTGGCAATAAGATTTTTTATACATACTTAGAGGAATCACTTTTAAAAACAAGTTATAACCAAATATTTTTAAGCTTAAAATATGTGCAATTTAAGGCATTGGAATTTAAAATAAGGTAAGTATATACAACTGTTTAAGTATCTAGAACATGTGTGAACTAAAATACTTAATGTAAATGTAATTTGATTTTTTTTTTTTTTTTGGTTTAGGTCTTGAACTCTGGGCCTGAGTGCTGTCCCTCAGCTTTTCAGCTCAAAGCTAGCGCTCTACCATTTGAGCCACATCACCACTTCTGGTTTTCTAGTGGTATATTGCAGATAAGAGTTTCACGGACTTTCCTGCCCAGGCTGGCTTTGAACTAAGATCCTCAGATCTCAGCCTTCTGAGTAGCTAGGATTATAGGTGTGAGTCACTGGACCCTAGCTGTAATTTGATTTTTTATATGTTAAAATCCATGACACTTAATTTCACAAATAATTCACTTTTTAATTATTTTGGAAATTAGAATAACCATATTGACTACTAAATACATTGTAAGTTCGTGCTAAATGTCAAATAAATGTGCTCCAAATTTTGTAGTCCTGGTTATCTCATTCCAATGATATAATTTAGTTACTTATGAAAATATAAAGAAATATCATGTTAACATATACAATTAGAAGTTTCAATTTGAATAATTTAAATCATAAGATCTTATGAGATCTTAAAAGTTTATTTTTCTACACTTACCAGCTAAAGCAAGAAAATATTCCTGAAATCTTGTTCCTATACGGTTAGTGGCTGTGCAATTATATCGTCCAAAGTCATTGTCAGATGTGGGTGCAATCTAAAATAAACATTAAAATGAAAGTCAAAATTCAAGTAAGATTCACAAGGCTCTAGTATGCCTGCCAATTGCAAATAGGATCAATTATTCCCCCAAACAATTACTAGCCATAATCTTTTTATCAGATAAGAATTTGAAACAATACACAAAACTTCACTTCTATATTACTAAGTTTATCTATTATTACATTAACTGAATCAATGTAACAGTTTGTTATATCTGAAATAGAAAAAAAAAGTTTTACCTACCTGTGCATAAATTACAGAAATAGTATATATGCATACATTTATTTATAGATAATTATTTAGGAGATGATAATAAATAGGTAACTAGGTAGACAGATAGCTGATTGATAGAAACATTCATTGATAGATACATAGATAATTGGCAGATTGAAACAATAGAGGTGTAAAATTGAAAACAGGAAGCTTATAAAAAAAGTAATGTTAACATATTTTCCAATTTAAGCTTTAGATCAGCCAGAAGTTCAGTAAAAGCACAAACAAGTGTAATTTATCTCTAGTTTTTAGTTTATGAATATAAAATATTAATGAAAATGAGCAGTAATTCTAAAGTCTTTCCAACAAGCCATTTTGCAAGACAATATTGCATTTGTGCAAATCTACACAGACAGAAATATGTTCTTCATATGTATTAATGTTATCATACCTACATTTTCACTCAACTCCTATCATTCTCTTTTAGTGAAGGTGGAAAATTGCTGACCTCAATCTTTACACATTTGAAATCCATAATTAAGTTAACCTTTGAGGATTGTATTGGCGAACAGTGGGAACAACCCTATGATTCTAATGTGCAGAAATTCTGAAGTACCAATTCAGAAGAGAGATTTGATGACAGTAATAGATATAATTCTCAATTCTGGTAACCATTTTTAAAGGAGTTGCTGCTAATTCAATGCTATCCCAAAAGAGAGAAAAATGATTTTGTGGTAATAGGAGGCTATTAGCTAAGAGAGTAATTCTGAGGTCGATTCAAGATGGTAATTCTGACCCAGTAGAAAAAAGTTGTGTCATTCGTTTTCTAGTCAGCTGTCCATCCAGCAATTGGACATAAGATTAAAATTTGCAATGATAACAGCTCTTACATATGTACATCTGAGTGATTCAAAAATTCATTTTTTGCATTCATCTTTTAAGAAGCAGGATTAATTTACGTCTTAAGATAATTTTACTAATGAGGAAGAGCTAACTACGTAAATAGAAAGATATTTATAAACATAAATATATTATAAATTTATAAATATAAATATATTTGTCAAAGTTTGTAGAGTTCATAAGCTTTATAGACCATGATAATGACAATTCGCCTTGTGAAGGTTAAAATGTGATTGTGACTTTAGCTAAGTATCACTATCCCACAATACTGTGAAGTTTATGAAATCATTTAATCTCAAGAAAGAAATTTTAAATAAGAAATATAATATTTATGAACATAATTATATTATAAGTATGAATACATTTATATAAAAATTTATAAATATGTTATATATGTGTGTATGTATTTTGTCTTTTTGTTCATAGTTGGATATAAGTCTCTTAAACATTTTTTGCCCAGGCTGGAACCACAATTCTCAGATATCAACTTCCTGAATAGCTACCATTACAGGAGTGAACCATCTGCACCCAGCTACAATATTTATTATTATTCTCAGGCCTATGAAAAAGGTTTCAAATATTCCAACACAAAGAATATGTTTATTGAATCGATCAATTCAGGGGCAAGACTGCCAAAAGAAACAACGATTCTGCAAAATTTCTAACTTAAGCATTTTCCTTGGAATCATTTTCAAAAGACTGAGCTCTTTTATCCCTACTGGAAGTTCAGGTATCAACTGGAGAAGCTTTACAAGTATCTCTTAAATAAGTGATTTATTTATTTTGTCATTTGGTTAACAAACACAGAAAATAATCCATCATATTACAGTTTAAGATTATTCTCAAAAGTTCTATTCTTAATGTAGGAAAATACATGCCCTGAAGCTTATTGGATATTTTCTGAGGAACACAATTAAAACAAACAAACAAGCAAAGAAGCAATTAGAGTCCAAAATGACTTCACATGCAAACTTAGCAAATAACATTAAAACTTATCAAAATCTAAAAACACACATAGACCTCAACACAGTGAATATTGGTGACTTTTAACACACCACTGTCACCTCTGCACTGTCACTGCACCTCTACATGGCAAAAACTCATGGCAAGAACTACAGAGCTAAATAATTGCACAGACAAACTGGACTTAACAGACACCTAAAGAATATTCCACCCAACAACTACAGAATTTACATTCTTCTTGGTGGCACATGGATCATTCTCTAAAATAGAGCATATTTTAGAGCACAAAGAAAGTTTATGAAAATTCAGAAATATTGAAAATATTTCATTCATTCTTTCAGACGACAATGGAATAAAATTAGAGCTCAATGCCAAAAGCCACAATAGATCCTACAGCATATGGAGACTCAACAAGAACTTGTTGAAAAAGCAATGGGTCATGGAAGAGATCATATAGGAAATTCAAACATTTATGATATTTAACAAAAAGGAGCAAACAAAATACCAGCTCCTCTGGGACACAGCAAATGCAGTTCTCAGAGGAAAATTTATAGCTCTGAGTGCCTAAGTCAACAAATTGGAGAAAACTCAAACCAACAATTTAATGATGTATCTTAAGCTCCTTGAAAAAGAACAACAGGCTAAACCCCAAACTCTATTACAAAGCCATAGTACTCAAAACAGCTTGATACTGGCACAAGAACAGCTCTGAGGACCAATGGTATAGATTTGAAGACCCAGAAATGAACCCACAGACCTACGGCCACCTAATCTTTGACATGGAGCCCCATGCCTGCCCCCAAAATAGGATGGAAGAAAGACAGCCTTTTCAATAAATGGTGTTGGCAGAATTTGCTAAACATGCGTAGAAAACTAAAATTAAATCCCTATATATCACCCTGGACCAGAATCAACTCCAAATGGATCAAAGACCTCAAAGTAAAAGCAGATACCTTGAAAATATTACAAGAAGAAATATGAGAAACACTAGGGATCCTTGGCACAGGCCAAAACTTTCTTTAAAAAGATCCAGAAACACAATAAAACAAAGAAAGGCTGGATAAATGGGATTGAATTAAACAATAGAGCTTCTACACAGCAAAGGACATAGCTAACAAAATATATCAAAACCCTACAGACTGGGAGAAGATCTTCACCACCCATACAACAGACAAGGGTCTCATATAAAAAATATACCAACTGCTCAAGAAATTAAATCCCCCCAAAACAAACACCCAAAGAAACCACAACCCCATTAACAAGTGGGCTAAAGACCTTAAGAGAGACCTCTCTGAAAAGGAAATACAAATGGCAAAGAGTTACCTGAAGAATTGCTCAACAGCTCTGGCTCTAAAAGAAATGCCAATCAAAACAACATCTCCACCTTACACCAATTAGAATGTCCATAATCAAGAAATCTAACAGCAATATTGGTGGAGAGGTGACCAAAGGGAAACACTACTACACTGTTGGTGGAAATGCAAACTTGTTCAATCACTGTGTAAAGGTTCCTCAAAAGACTACACATAGAGCTACTATGACCCAGCAATCCCACTTCTGGGGATCTACCCAAATGATCACAAACAAGGCCACACTAAAGCCACCAGTACAAAAATGTTCATCACGGCATTATTTACCATAGCCAAGATATGAAACCAACCCAAATGCACCTCAGTAGATTAATGGATCAAGAAAATGTGGTAGATATACACAATATCATTCTATGCTTCCATCAGAAAGAATAGCATTGTTCCATTTATGAGGAAATAGAAATACCTGGAAACAATTATATTAAGTGAAGTAAGCCAGACCCAAAGAAAATCAGGTCACATGATCTCCTTCATTTGTAAGAATCAGTACATGTATAGGATATTCTTAACGGGAGGTCAATAACCCAAGTGCTTATTGCAAAGGACTATATAAAAGGAAACGTATTAACATGAACTATAACTTATGGAAACAAGAGGTTCTCATTGGAGCCTGCATATAGTTCATTCTTTTTTTCACTATTTTTGTTTTTGTCTTTCTTCATTTCTCTTAGTTTTTTTGTACCTTGTGTTTTGCCTAACAGAAAATGCAATATGTGAAAGGGAAAGGGAATCACAGAAACAGCAGAACAATGGATGAACCTCCGCAACATTGACACTCACTTGACACTATGTGGAATATGAACATTCCTACTTGGGGGAGGTGGTATAGGGAGGGACACGTGGGAGATCAAGAGGGATGGAGTAACAATGATTAAAAACAAATGTACTTACTGCCTTACCGATGGAACTGTAACCCCCAGCTCATCGCCTCTTCAATAAAAAAACATGTAGCCATGTATATTGTATTTAAATGAATGATATTTAAATGAATAAAACTATATTTAAATGAATGCATTTAAATCCATACCAAAATATAAATCATTGTTAAACTTATCCAGGAAATATTTTAAATATTACTCATATCACATTTATTTTTCTATTTAAAATCCAATTAACATAAATTTAAGTTCATTGGTGATGCCAGGCTTTCACACAATATATTAGATTGATAATTTAGTTTTGAGTCTCCAAACATAAACTGAAGAGGTTAACCTGCTTACCTAAGCTTGCCTGAAACCTGAATTACCATTCTCTGTATCCTCTGGTGAGAAAGCTTTGCATTTCAAAGTCAGCATTTTGTATTTAGGACAAGGAGCAACAACACAGATGATATAAATGCAAAATTAGAATCTTTTACCATGTATGTTTCCTCATATATTAAAATATGTGTATGTTGAGACAAAACCAAAACCTAACATAGTTTTATAACTACTACAGATGGATTTTATTGCCATTAATGGACAGAATTTATGATTAATTAAAGAAAGACTTTAAAAATCCATTTCTAGCCATGAGGTAATCCTAACATACGTAAACAGTGTACACGGAAGGGTCAAGATTTCAGGCCAGTCCAGGAAGTCTTCCCAAAGCCTTATCAGAAAAAAATAAGCCAGACATTATGACTCACACTTCAGAAGGGGGACTTAGGATAAAACAGATTTGGGCAAAAGCTCAAGATCATATGTAAAAAAAATAAAAAATAAAGAAAAAGAAAATAAGGACTAGAGATATGGTTAATTGTATAGCAGTGTCCTAGTAAGCAAGATTCTGGAGATAATCACCAGTAACACATACACACACACACACACACACAGATACACACACACACACACACATACACACACACACACACATACACACACACTTTCATACACATACACGAAATAATTTCATGAATTATATAAATATATTTGTGTCTTGTTTTCTATTTCTGTTTTACTATATTTTATTAAATATCAACAATAATGTTACTATTAAAATAGTTATTTTACAAAAATGACGTGTATTTGCACAGGCAATTGCACATTCTGCTAATTAAAAGTTAGCAGTGCTCCATGTTCTTTTTATTATTACTTTTCATATTCTATTTTCAAGTTATGTTAGTTATATATCTTTACATTTATTCAAGATATATACTAAATTTATGAAAAAGTGAATGTCTATAAAATTGTTCAAAATCAATTCCTTAACAAATCAGAGCATTTGAATATTTGTAAAGTAATACAAAAATATGTTTCACTTTCAAGTGGCAAAATGTTATTTATGCAGAGATTTAGCATGAGATTTTTCTACACATGAAATATTTAAGCACTGCATTTATGTCAACAACACCGTATTATGGGGTGGCCCATAATCTCAAAAGTGTAAAGAATAAGACAAGTAGAAAATACATGGCAATATGTCTTTTAAGTCTGAACTGAAATCAATCAATGGGAACTTGGAAGACATAAAAATGCCTTATCTCCAAACAGACTGAATTGGAAGGTTGACTAATCAACGGAGGGCCAGCAACTTCATATGGATATGTACCTTTTGTTTCTTCATGCAATAAATCTTTGGAAAGAAGCACACTTCATTTTTTCAAAGCTAGCCAACAACCAATCACCAGAGACTGGTAGTTAGGGCAATGATTAATTTGAATAAACAAAATATTCATATTGACCTTTTGTCTTCCACTAGTTTCTGCACTCCCTCATGAGTCCGTTAGTAAGATCCGTAGAATACACTATCTCACTCCAGATATCTGTTTGTCCTGCCTTTCTTTGCAAACATTGTTCTTCCTCTAAAATGTGTGCAAAACATCACTCTTCAGACATTTTAAAATTTAAAACTGCTTTCTGTTGTGAAGACTCTTATATACATAAAATTGGCAAAGCTTTTATGTTTACTTCTGGCTTATTGTCTTTTGGTTTCTCAGATACTTCCAAGGAATCCAGAAGAGGGCAAAAGGAGAAGCAGTAAGCCATTCTTCTCCTCTACTCCTCTAGGCTGCATTACATTGTATCCTATCAGCTTCAGATACTGAAACCCATATATAATCCTCTACGGTTTGATTTGTACACAGTTATCATAAGCTTGAGGCTCATGATTCAGGAGGACTGACACCTTTATAAGAGGAGGAAGAAGCAGTCAGCAGAGGCCTATTTCTATGTATGTTCAGAGATCAGAACATGTGAGAATCCAGGAGGAAAATGTAGAAGTAACAGGACAGAGTCCTGTTATATCAATTCTCCTGGCATATTTGCATTGGAATCGAACTTTGTTGACAGGAATTTCTGTTTTGTAAGTTATCTTAGACTGCCATGTTATATTTTGGCACGAAGAGACTAATCCATTATTCAAAATTTAATTTAAATGTAACTTGAATTTTAAAGTACAATTTCATTGTTATTATGAGAGTGTTGTACGGAAGGCATAAGTCAGGTAATGAGTACCTTTCTTTTTTGGACAATGTCCCCCTTCTTAACTTTCTCCCATTAGATTTAGTTTTTAAACGCAGATTAAAATTAAACATAAAATTTACATTGTCTCTCCAAATAGTCTTTGCAAAATTGACATCAATTGATGAATTGTTAATTCACCAATTGATTTACGTTAAAACATTGATTTAAAAATTGATTTACATTAAAACAATTTTATAGAAATGTAGTAATTGTTCATCACATTTTAAGTAATTGGAGATGTTATATTGAATAATTCTACTAAGCAAACAGTTTGCTTAGTAGAGATACTGAGCCAAATGAAAATGTTACTATAGTATTATTAAAAATTGAAGCTACTTTCATTTGATGCAAACTGCATGAATAAAGAATATGTAGAAGACTGATCTGAATAGGACAGCAAAATCCCTGCCCAGTTGTTCTAAAATATCATCAATTACAAGAACTAATCATTGCTATAAACTTGTATAAAATTTGAGAACTGGTAACATAATCTATAATCAAGAAATAAGAGTGCATTATATTAAAACAGTCTGATAAAATGCCTCCATCAGAAAGAATGACATTGCCCCATTTGTTAGGAAATGGAAAGACTTGGAAAAAATTATATTAAGCGAAGTAAGCCAGGCCCAAAGAAACATAGGCCCCATGGTTTCCCTTATTTGCAATATCTAGTATATGTCTGAGTCAAGCAGAAAAGGTCAGATAAGTTGATGTTAGGGAAATGAACGTTAAGATATGTATTTTAATGTTTTTTTTTCTTTCATGCATGTGTTTCTAACGCATTATAAGATTATTTCTTTCTTTGTTGCTTTGTATGTCCCTCCCCCACAGTATAACCCCTGCTTTCACTATATTTGATGTCAGTATAACTTGTGGAGGAGATGGGGAAAAACAAGTCGTTTAAGGATACAGGTGGACCTGTTGCAACAATGAGAAGTACAAGTTGTCATGTCCAAAACGAGCTTTACAACGTCGGTGCGGGGGTGGGGGGTGGGGGGGGTGGGGGAGGTGGGGGGTGGGGAAGGATTGGGACTGAGGGGGGAAGGGGGAGGCTGGGAAGGGAGGTGAAGGGTAAACAAAGGAGGAGGCTGCAATGCTTGGTAAGAAATATACGCATTATCCTGCCCACGTAATTCTAACCCCTCTGTACAGTATGTTCACAAATAAAATAAATAAAAAAATAAAATAAAGCCAATTTGGGCAGCATAAAACTAATTTACATAATATTACTTTAAATATAAAAAGCAATTAACAACAAGCAAGATTTATTAAGGAACCTAAACTAGAATAATAAACTTGAATAATAAAATATAAAAATAACATATATAACAATAAAAATAATGAAATGTAAAATAAAATTAAAAAGTAAACTATTAAAATATCAGATTATTAATTTCTACATTTCCTGATGTTTTTCTTTCTAAAAGTAAACTTGTGAAACATTATGGTCTTTGCTACAAATCATATTTCTGTTTTAATAAATGATGTGCCATCCAGAATAAACAGATCATGATGCAAATACATGAAACTTACTTGTAAATTGTTTAATATATGAATATACTTTATAATTATATATAACCACATATATAATGCATATTAAATACACTCTAAAATTAGTTAACACTTACCTCTAATATCATTTTTCTTCCTGCACTATACGTCTTTAAATTGGTGGTATTTTTAGCTGGCAAGACTAATTTTTCTCTTCGCCAATGGATTGATGCTGGTGGATTTGATTTCACATCACAACTTATGTTGATTGGATTTCCTTCCCAAGAGAAATAAATGGTTTGATTTGAAACAAATTTAGGAGCATCTGGAAAACAATAGTACAAAATGTTTAAAGATGTTTTAAGATAAGTCTTCACTTAGAATTTCATAATTTAGTACCAAAATACGTCAGAAGCATTCCAGGGTTAGATGTTTAATAGGCAATAGCTGAAGTCAGGAAAATCTGACTTTTGAGAGTTGTATCATACAATTTAAATATTATTAGCATGATAATAAGACCAATTGCTACAATAGGCAATAGTACTCAAAGTTAAATTTGCCCTTCCGTACCCAAAATATTATTGACTATTTTACTCAGTACATGAGTCGAAGTTGTTTCAGAAACAACACACAGTGAAGTTTACCATAAAACGTAATAAAAAAATCAGTGTTTCTTGTTAATCATGTTTTACTCAAAATAATCTTCCTATTAGGTATTTTGAAATCTATGTTAAAATAGGAATAAATAAGCATTGTATTTTTCTAATCATCCATTGCATTTCACATGAAAATAGCAATATTGAAATTGTTCAGAAATTCTTAACTTAAAAAAATCTTTATGATATTCCATTGAATTTTACATTTTTACACAAGATTAATTCATAAAAGTGAAACAAAAAACATTTTATTGGAGGATTTAAAGAAGTTCCTGCATGAAACCTTCTAAATCAGTATGCTGACAGGAGCAAGTTGAAATTGTTTGAGGAACTTTCACTTATCTTTGGCTTGTTTCTCCCTACATAAATCAAAAACATGGACTCCTTATAGAAAACTATTATCCATACACTAAGGCCAGAAAATAAAACTAATCACCAGAAGTTGCTAGGTGGCTGCTTTTATAAACAAACATGGAAATAATCTTCTGTTCCAATGGTTTATCTAATTATCATTATGTTTCTGATATTTACTTGTATAAGCCAGTTACAGAGCATTACATCTGTAATTTCATGTTGCACATGAATTTACCATCTTATGTCAGTTAATCAATTTTCCTGCCATTAATTCACAAAGATCATTGTCCACTTCAAATTTATTTAAGAAAAATAGCTTGGGTAATCCCCTTCCAACTGTAACTTCTTATAGAAAGATCATCATGTGCATCTAAGTGAACAAAACTTATGCTTTAATCTTGTTAATAATTTCTTTTATATTTGAGCATTTAGGTCTGTTCAATGTGCCAACAAAGGAATTTAAAAGGGTAAAACAAATACCTTCTCTCTTAAAATAAATGTTATTTTATTATAAATTCTTTTTTTATTTAATTGTCAAGTCAATGTATGGAGGGGTTTCAGTTACATAAGTAAGGTTATGAGTACATTTCTTGTCAACCTCGTTACCCCTTCCCTCAGAGTAACAAGACACTCAGGAAAATATGAACTAGACAAATATCCAAATATTGTAATGTCATTGAATCTCAATGTTTGAATGCATAGACATTCAAAAGGATAATTTTATGTTTCTGTGTGAAAGCATAATCATTAATTAAATTGCACATAAAATGTATATTTAACTTGGAACATGTTAATAATATTACTTAACATAAATTACTTATGTATGTATGAGAATACATACATATATATACATATATATATATGGATGGATGGATGGATACACACGCTTATATGGTTTGATGTTTATATCAAGTTAAACAACTGTATCCTTTCAATACTAAAAAGGAGAGTTCAAGGGTCTCTTATCCATTCTGATTTCATTAGAAATAAATTCAGTAGTAGAGTTTCTGGATCACATGGTATATTTCAAGTTTTCATTTTTGGTGGAACTTTCTTGTTGTTTTCCATAATGCTGCATTACTTTACACCCTCACCACCACTCTGTCAGTGCTCATTTTCCTGTATATTCCTGCCATCACACTTGTTATCTGTCATAGTTATGACCATTCTACTGAACACACATAATAACTCAATGTGATTTTGGTTTTCATATCTTTGACAATTGCTGATATTGAATGTGTTTCATACATCAACTAGTCATTTGCATATAGTCTCTTAAAATCTATCTTTAGGTCTATTGTCCATTTTTTAAACCAGATTATTCAGGTATTATGTGCCATGAGTTTTGGTGGTCACATTGTTAATCTGGAAAGCAAGTCTTTGCCAGATAAATAATTGGTAAATCTTTACTCCCCTTCCACAGATTTTCTCTTCACTCTGTATTAGTTATTTTAATTTTGATGAGATGAAACTTTTTATTTAGATATAATTTCTTCTCTTTTTGCTTTTCATTCAAGTGCTTTTCTTGTCTCATCCAAAAATATTTGCGGATTCAGTGTCCTGAAACAACATATTCTCTGTATTTTTATAGTGATTTCTTAAAATTTGAATAGAAGTTAGAGAAGAGAGAGAGAGAGACAGAGAGAGAGAGAGAGTTCAGTATTAGGAATCCAGTTTTATTTGTACCATTTGCTGAAAACAATTGCATTTCTTCAGCTATGTTCCTATCACATTTTATTTAGCTGTACATAGGTAGCTGATATCTAGGCACTTTATCCTGTTTAGTGGCCTATAAATCTGTTTGAATGGCAATAATATACTGTTTTGAATAATAAAGTGTCAAGGTATATTTTGAATTTAGGTAGTTCAATGCCTCTTCATTTTAAGATAATTTGGGGCTATTTGGAATTTATGGTGTTGTCATAGAAATTTAGGGACTTTTTAACTGTACAAAAGATTAGACGATGGTACTGGTATTCTAATAAAGATTGTGTTGAATCTGGAAATCATTTTGGGTAATTTGGACATTTTAACACATCAGAAACATGAGATTCCGTTCGGAGAATCTCTTTGCAAAGACAGCTCCATAAAAACTTCATCTACACAAAACAAAATAGCCATGGCATGTATCTGTGATTCTAGCTATGCTGGAGGTAGTAAGGAGAAGGACTGCTATCCAGGGAAAAAAGAGAAAACTTGTCCAGAGAAAGCATATGTATCTATATCTCATTTTCAGAGAAAATATAGGAATGTTAAGAGAAGTAAATCTCACAGAGACAATGGTCCATGTTTTCTTCTCATTTGTAGCTGATAGATATAAATTACAAATATATGAAAATATAAAGGATTCATATGCATGTATACATAAATACATAGTCTAAGGTATGGTATATGCAGGGTGGATTTGAGTGGTATAACTCCATTAAATAACTAAGTTAGAGTTTTACAAAATGAATACTAAAAAGCTGAAATAAATTTTTAGATAGGTATTAAAAGGAAGGAATGGATAGAGAATAAATGGACAGAGAAAAGAAGGGTGAATATATTAATATTATATGTGTGCATGTGTGTGTGTGTGTGTGTGTGTGTGAGAGAGAGAGAGAGAGAGAGAGAGAGAGAGAATAGAACCAGATAATCAGGTAGCCTGGGTGAGGTTGACAGAGTTGGGGGAGATGTATTGAAGGGGTGATATTCATAAAGTATATTGTACCCACAAACTGCGATGTTGAATTCAAACCCCTTTACAGAACTACTTACAGAGAATTTTAGAACATTTCTTTAAAACAATAAATAAAATAAAAAGTTATGTTCAGATCTTTACCAGGTGATCTTTACCAGGAGCACCAAGGAAAGTGGTAAGACTGCCTTCAGCCTCAGTATAATGTCACAAGGATTTTAATGAAAAACCGTCCTTATGTGTTGCTTTTCCTGACAAAGAGGTCTGAATGTGCAGCCGGCACTCCTCACTTCCTTTTGTTATTATATGAGATTTTTCTGACTCAATAACTTGCTTCAGGCAAACTTTTAACTTTCTCCAGTCCCTTCTGCTCAGGTTCAGAAATATTTCTTCTTGACAATTTCTTTTTGTAGTCAGTACCTATGACCTAAATAAAGTCCTACTTCTTGCTGAGTTCTGTGACCTGCACATGAAACTCGCCTGCATACCTCCAGCTGAATGCTGAGAGCAGCACATACACAATTTGTGGGAACTGGAACATAAAAAATCTTTGCCTTAAATTTCCATTACCTCAAGAAAGTAATTCAGTATACAAACATCCTATTTACCCACTGTGTCATATTTAAAAAAAATTATGGAGAAATAATTTGAAATCATTCAGCACTAAAATTTAGGATTTTAATATAGTATGCCCTGTCTTAATTGAAGCCCTATCTAGGACCGAAATCTCTCCTGAACATTATACAAGCCATTTCTACTCTATAGTGAACTCTCTTCTTTTTTTCCCAGCCACACAATTTTTAAAATTATTATCTTTATGTAGTTGTACAATAGCATTTCAATTCAACAGTTCCAACTGAGTAACTTGATCATTATCACCCATTCTGGCATTCTCCCCTTCTTTTCCATCCCATTCACAATCTCATTACATGGTTCCATATTCACATACATACATTTAATAGAATGACTGTATTCACCCAAAATTCAGATTTGTATTTTATCATTAGATATTAAGAACCATATTTAGTATTGATACATTAATATGCAATTTGATGTTATATTAAAAAAAACTTTGCCTTTCTTTTTTCACCACTAAAATACAGTTTGGAAAAATACCTTTTCCATCTCTCAGTGTCCATTTCTAGCCTGTTGTCTATCCCTGGGCAATCTCTGTCTTTGATTCCCATACCCTCCATGTTGTATATAGATTTATCTGACTTGGAGAAGGGAAGGAAAATAGCAAAATGATGTAAGAAGTATAAAGTATAAATGACCCATTGCAACAATGATACTCGCAAGACACTAGGTCAGAAATGAATGTAGTGGGGGGGATGAGTGGAGAGAGGGAAGGGATAGTGGGAGAACAACAATGGAGTGTGTAACAATGTTCAACAAGAAATGTGCCTTACTCATGTAACAGTAACCCCTCTGTAGAGCATCTTTACGATAAAATAAAAATTTTAAAATCTTATAAAGCAGTTTTCTTGCTTACTCTCCCACCAATATATACATTGAAATAAAATTACTAGAGTCACTATAATCTTCTAGAGGATAATATTCCCAGCCTGGAGCTCTGGAGTTTATGATGGCCTACACAGCCCAATACGGATTTGTTTCTGTGTTTTTTTAATGTTGTCC